CTGCGCCTTTCCTTCAGTCAAAAATTAAAATGGTAATATNCAATACTATAGTAATAATTAACATATTTGTACCTAAGTGGAGGAATGATGAAGTAGAAAAATATCTGCGCCTTTCCTTCAGTCTATAAATTAAAATGGTAATAACTTTCGAAATAATGAGTCAACAAAAGTTTTAAGTTTATTCATCTTTGTCATAGAATTATGATATAGTAGCTAAGAAAATCTGTTCGTATTAGGAAGGATATCCTCAAAACTATAATCTCAGTAACAACATATTACTTAGTTTTTCAGTAAATTAATAAAAATTTGTATATAATTATAAGGTAAGGGATGAATCAAAAAAGTATAAAAAACCGATGAATCGAGAAATATATGAAATAAAAAAGACCCAAAACAATATTCTTAATATAATAACTATTGTAAGAGAAATCTAATAGATGTCATTAAAAGAAATACACTGTATAAATTATATACCTGTGGTACTCTTACAGAAAATTTTATCGAAATCAAATTAATTTTGAATCTCATAAAGTGTTTTCATTCTTTATTTTTGATCTTCCTTGGAATAACTGCAGAAAGTTATCAAATATTAAAACATTTTTAAGGCCTTGTACAATTATTATACTTAAAACAGTTTTCTTGAAAAACTCTCAACCCACTGGGCTTTTTCAAAACAGAAAAAACGTTTTTTCAACAACCCCGCTTTAAATTAATTTCATTAATATAATATCTTAGTTACCATTTTATATAAAACAGAAAAAGAGCGATGAAAACTTTATATTTTAGCGGGAAACTGTTTTCTGTCATTGTTAAATACTACCATTAGAACAAATTAGTTTTACATTTGTTTTAGGTTTGAAAATACTAAAACTTAAATAAATGAATATTTTACTGTAACATGTGCTTAAGTTTACATTTTTTTCACTCAAAAAATCTTCACTTTAATTTATATTTAAAACAAGTATAGAGTAAATAAGGAAATTAACATTTATTTAACAAATTAAAATTCAAGCTTCCGCCTACAATAAAATCAAATACTCTCTTAGAATTTAATGACTGAGATATGTTCGTTCCAGGTAATTTAGCAAAAATAATTTGAAAAACTCGTAGCGTCCACTAAAAACTATCTACAATGAATTACAAAGACCTTACATGATTATTGAATGAGGTTTACTTTATGGATCCATGAAATAAAATAATAATACTTTAGTTAAAATAAATAATTACTATTTATCTAATACAAAAATACAACGTAGAATAAATTGTCTTACAATACATCTTACTGAACCTGAATATTAATAATAGACTAAAATCATATAAATACCACAATGTATGTTTATAATAAAATAGAAAAGTATAAGCAAAATACGGTTGAACAATTTACAAAATTACAATATAACTTATCTAATCCTATTCAGCACTTAACATAATTAGAGAATAAATAATGTAAATCACAAATACATAAAATGATAGTGTTACTACAAATTATTAATTACTATTTCAATAACAATTATTCTTAAAAAATATAAAACTATTTGTGGGATTTAATAAAAAATTGCACTAGAACTTTTTAAAGATGGTGGTAATGAATACTGAACGTGATACACAAAACTTTAGTAAAGACTCAAATATAAACGTCTAGAAACTTACACAAAGTTGACGTACAATTTTTGTTGTGATAGCATTTTATACTGTGTAATCAATATATACATACATTTTATTTATGTTACTTCCAATCTAGTCCACCTCAATGTCTTTATCTTTGAACAACCACGAGTATCATCACTTCGCCCTACAGTGCAATGATCCTTGTAATTTTACGAGCCATTGAATACTGCGACCGTAGGCACTTCATCAATGCGTCCAACGAGTACCTGAAAAGTACGACCATAGTACCTGAACCCGGAAAATTTTAGAAAAAACAAGACAAATTACATGGTATACGTGAAATGGAAAACTGTCCGAAATAACAAAGGGCAATTTGAAAAATGTAACCATAATCTTTGCATTTATTTTTAAAAGTATTATTATTCTAAATAATGTTTGCCATTTAATTCAACTTTTTACACTCTTTATGGACTTAAGAGTTGTTATCTTTAAAACAGTGTAACGATTTGTAATGTGACGAATAAATGCTCAAATAAACATAAAAAAGACTTTAATCATTTTTCTCACATTTTATCTTTGATAAGATGACTTTACAAAAGCGGTCGTCTAACTAAAAGTTTTGAGAATTTATATTTTTTATCAGGTCTGAACTATTATTCTTTCCAGCTAATAAAACTAAGTTCAAGTTAGACAAATTCCTTTTAGACACAGTAATATCTCACAAAATAAATACAATACTAAAAATCATTGTTGGATTTTTTTGGTTATTTATATTGTTTTATTTATTAATTACTTTTTAGTGTCATCCCTTATAATATAAACGGGCGTTAACTTAATATTTTTGAATGATAACATACATACTTAACTATTTTACAGAACAGAAAATAGTATAAGCAAGAAAATGACGGTTTGATAACTACTTTTAAGCCACTACTTTCAAAGTTATTAAACTTTTTTATACTTTAGCTGAAAGAGGAATGTGGACGAGAAATTTCAATGATATAGAGATGTTTTAAGCTATAAAAGTAAATTTGTAAGTTGTGCACTCAAAATAAATTTTTAATTCTTTTTAATACTTTAAATTGCTTAAAAAGAATATTTTACCGTAGTATAAAATATACTCGTATTATAAATTAAAACTTTTTTTTAATGTGTTTGTTTATTTGTAATCATCACTAAAATATTCATTTTTCCAGTATATTGTAAATAAAAAATCAACTTTAAAGTATATATATATATAATAAATATTTTATATCATAAATATATCAGAGTGTATACAACATATTCTGACTAGTCCTATAATTTTTTATCAACTTAACATTTTGCAATACTAATTTATTTTTTATATTTTGTTATACTTTTTGACCATAAGAATTAATAATTTTTCTTTATTCTATAGAATAAAATATTTTTTTTTTAATTCACGAAAAATATAAAATATTTAAGGTAATGCATATAAAAAATGGTGAAAAATTATGTACAGTAATTAGATTTCTACAAAATTAAAAAATTATAAAAAATTGAACTTTTACATTTAATTGATGTAATTAATCTTTGGCTTATATTGCAAACAAATGGACAAAAGAGAACTCAATACATAAATATAACTCGTAAATTTTACTGAAAAAACATTTTTAGTATAAATATCGGCGGTTCTCCTTTAGTCTTCATTTTAAAAACGTTCAAATTTATAAACAAGGTGTTTCTAATTTTTTTAATTTTTTATTATGTTATTATTTAAAAAAAAAGAATTCCCGTTAAAGGAAATTAAATTTTAAGTTTTTTGACTCTGAAGGGATAAAAAAATTACTTAACAACACATTATTATAGAGTTTGGTAAACCTAATATTTTTTCTCTTTACAAAAATTTAAAATTCTCAAATTTTTCTGGAAAAATGAGCGTTTTACAAAATTTGGATTATTTGTATATTACTAAAAAACAATTTCTTTCCCAATATTTTATTTATTTTGCGAATAGTTGAGTGGGTTTTGATTAACGGATTACACTGAATAATTGAGATTCTCTTGAGGGTAATTTTTTTTATATATATTTTTAATGCGAGAATTTTTTTTCTGCACTCATTTTACATTTTAACCAAGAATATTATAAATTAGTAACTATAAATCAACCCATGTACGATTACATCGAGTGTTAATATCTTACTAGTACATTGCTAAAAAACGCAAAATCGACAGTGCATTTTATAAATGGTGCGTTTTATTTTTTTTCGATTATCTTAAAGACCAAAATCCATAAGAGGGCGGCTTCACTACTACGTTTTACCTTCTAAAAATCCCATTATTGACGGCCGGTGATTTTGTGGTTAAACGACTTAGTAGCGTCTAAAAAAAACGATTTACATATATAGGTAACAGCCGTTAGTAAATCGATTCTACCGCGAATATAAATGACGTGCATAGTTAACGTAAGTGTGCTGTAGAAACACATTCCCATCTCTTGTTGGTTCATTTGGAGAAAAATGTGTCGTCGATAGCAGTAAAGAAATTGGTCGAAAGGAAGTTTGGCTCGAACGGCACAAATTAGTTTAGGTGAATTGTTTTTAGTTGTCGACTGCAATCTAATTTCTTTGTATGAATGGCGTATTTCAATTGGCGGCATCAATTTTTCTCTTGCATTAAAAAACAATTTTACAACGACCCAAGTTTATAGTTTTAAAAATTTAATTTTAAATTAAGAAACTTAGTATCGCGTATATTATTGAACACTTAAATACATTTCCATTTTTATTTTTTCTACCTGCTTCGACAAATTTCCAAAAAATTTCAATAACTAATATCATTATTTAAAAGCATAAAAAATATTTTATTATATCACTTTTTCTCTAGAATAAATAATAATTTATTGTATAGCCGATTATTACTAATGTGAAATCTATTCGATCACAAGTGTCTAACGGTAATAGATTTTTTTTTTTATTCTGTCTAACGCTTACAGTAGTGCTGAATAAAATTTGTTTTCTTCACAAACGATTAAATCTGAACTATCAAAACAACTGCCTCCAACTATCTCGAGTGTATTGACCAGAAAGCTATTAGTTACAAACAAAGTACCGAAGACAAAGCAATTAATCGAAACGATAATCAACTTTTTGTGCTATCGACTAACAAAAATAAAGTGTTTTTTTCGAATTGATTAACCACAATGTTGTTATTTTATGGCTAAATGCATATTTCTGGCAATAGACTTATTGTTTTCCGAGTAGGTTCGTTTGATTAGCAATATCGACTGCAAAAGATTAACCGAAAAAACAATTAGTATTACATGTTTAGCCATTGACGATTTTAGTTTTGTATAACTTATTGTTTATAATAATACTGTTGTTATTTCCCAAGCAAACAAATAATACTTAATACGGTTAATATATTTTCAGACTCTAGTACGGACATGCAAATGATTTTAGAGAACCGGAAACATCTGACCGATCAAGAAGTCCAAACCGAAGAGACAAGAATACGAGAGTCGTAATAGTAATAATCAGCGATCATTGTTTTTGTTTTTATTTGTTACTGTTATTCATCAATACGTATAATATAAGCGTACTATATGTGCATATATAAAATATAAAAAAGCTATATACCCGTGTAAAAAGACTGAAACGAATGTTGTTACCCCGAGAAGAATTCCAATCGTATGGCATAAAAATATTATGACGCTCATCATGTTAAAAGCTTTTTGTGATGTCAATAAGTTGTATAGTCGGTTACCACAAGATATCAATAACCAAAAAAAAATATTTGTGCAGCCCAAACAAATGAAATGTGTATCGCTTTCTAGTTTACTTTTATTCACGTCATATTCCAATTGTTAAAATAAGGTTCACTCAAAACTTAAAAAAACAACAAACACTACAATAATAAGTTTCAACCAGGGCCGGATTTAGGAATGTAGAGGACCTGGGATCCATCAAAAATAATTTTCCTCGCTTTGCTCAGAATATTGATAAATTTTTTTTTTTTTTGGGTAATATATTTCATATATATATAATGAAATAAATAACACGATATCCTAGCCAAAAAAATGGCTCTTAATAAACCTGACTACCTAAAATGAAATCTATACATTTTTAACAATTTAATCGGCGCATGTTACCGTTGTCAGTTGTATAAAAAACAACTATTCTACTTCAATAATAAAATATGAAGTAAAAAAAAAGTTAACCCTAACAACACTAATAAAATTTAAAATAAATCTCTAGTAATATTTAAAAATACATTAATCAAATTTACGTACTCAACCAAAGAATAATTAAATTATAAGTACCTAGTGCATGATTATGCAATTAGTTTGTAATGGTTAAAAAAATATATGAGTACTAGAAAAAATACCAAATAAAGTCAAATAATTTACTAAATAAAAAATAGACTTCATATAAACTTAATTTAACCCGAATGTATAAAAAGATGTACTTCAATAGAAAAAATTGCACCGTTTCTCTTAATTTCAAATGTGACACTTTCCGATATCCAATAAGTAAATTAAATATTGATTACGTGCAGACAATCAAGCAAGTTTTCTGGAAATACAGAGATAATGATGAAAATAAAAAATAAAAACAACTTCGGTATTAAATATTTTTGGTGGGTCAACTTGTTATCCGTCGGTTGTCATATTTAGACTGAGGACTGATATCTAATTTAATGCCAATACCGTCACTGCAATAATTTTCTGAGAAAAACGTATTCAAATTTTTTATTATAATTAATACGTTAAAATAAGACTCTCGCGATCATTTGCACGCAAAGAAAATATTAAAAAAAAATAGAATAATGAAGTTGAAGAATTGTAAACATAAGGTGCATCCCAATTCAATGTATAATGAAATTGCTNGACTGAGGACTGATATCTAATTTAATGCCAATACCGTCACTGCAATAATTTTCTGAGAAAAACGTATTCAAATTTTTTATTATTAATACTTTAAAATAAGACTCTCGCGATCATTTGCACGCAAAGAAAATATTTAAAAAAAAATAGAATAATGAAGTTGAAGAATTGTAAACATAAGGTGCATCCCAATTCAATGTATAATGAAATTGCATCGTAAAATTTACCTTCAATGATCTTTATGATATTTATTTATTTTTTAAATTTATAACTGCTTTGTCTTCTTCTTTTTAAAGCAATAGTAGCAATTGTCGATTCCTCCCTGCTTTGCTTTTTATTTCTTCGTGAGAATTACACTCTTGGTCCAATATTATTTGTTGTTCATACTCGATTCGATGTCTTTCCCTAGAAATGATATCTTCTTCGCAGTCTACTATAATTAGTCCCAGCAACTCGCCATGTCCAATCCGATTATTTCTTGTTTTCTGAATATCACTCCGTAGAATTGTTCTCTCAGACATTTTTTTTAATACTTCCTCGTTCGTTACCATATCCGTCCAACTCATTTTAAATATTCTTTTGTAACACTGCATTTCAAAAGCTTCAATCTACTCAGCTCTTCGTTGGCAATTTTCCACGTTTCGCTGTTATACAGCACTATACTCAATGCGTATGTCTTCAGAAGATTTTTTCTGGTAAGTATGCTGATATTTCTTGAAATAAAAAGATATCTTCTTTTTTTTTTTGTTAAAATCCTGCCATTTTTCTGCCATTTTCACTTGTAATGTTTCTCATGTATACGAACTCTTCTACTTCCTCTATTTATTGATAATTCCTTAGGTGTATTATGGTTTCTGCTTAACTTTTTCAAATTAACAATAATTAAATAGTATGAGGAATTTGAATATTAGCAATTTAGTAATAAAGTAATTTATGATTTAATTATGCAAGATTTATTCTATTAAACTAGAAAACTTCAAAGTTTCAATCGAATAAAATTTTACAGCTCAACATAGTATAGTTTGAAAACAATATTGATAGTTTTATGCATATATGATTTTTTTTATTTCTGAATCATCAATACGGGGGAGAACTATATCCATACAATTTATAGAGATAAATTGTATGGTTAATATCTATACACAATGTTTATATGTATACACCATAAAAAGAACTAGTTTTTAAAGACTAAAAAACTTAAAGCTTTTAAGTACTATTAAGGACTAGCTGAAATAATAGCGTGCAATCACCAAAAAAAATTTTACAATTTATTCGATTTTATTAGTACTATATTATAAAAAATAAGAAATGAATAAAATAATATGTAAATACTCCCTTGTACCACTTTCTAAATCCAGCCCTGGTTTTAGACTGTTCTAAAATTCATGTGATCCTTAATTTTGGTATAATATTTCAATCGTATTATATAAGTGTCCATCAAACATTAAACGATATTAATTTATCATCTATTTTATAGGTATCAAATTGTAGCAAAAATTATTTGTTAAACGTATGCCAATTGATAATTTAAAATAAATTTTATGAATATTTTAAATATAAGAAGATAATAATGAGCAGTTTAATTATTCATCAACATTTTTAAGATATTTGTATTTAGAATTTTATGTAATGTATAGATGTTATGAGATGAAATGTTGAAATTTAATAATTGTAAGTTATATTCCATACGTCAATGGTTATAAGTTTTAATATCAATATATAATTTAAATGATTTTACACGCAAGAGTAATTGACATTTAAGCAAATAAAGTATTTTTGTAAACGTGATAGTTTCATATTGTTTAATCTTTTAAGATATTGGTTTTCTTATTTTGTTTTTATGATGTTAATTTTTTTTAAAGTAATATAACTGTAATAATCATAAGGCAATTTTAATATCATAACGCATTATTTTTTACATCACATTAATTCCACAATTGTGTTGTAAGTAAATATAACTTGGTCTCTTTACGTCACCTTTATAGTATAACTGGTAATTTTAACGTTAAATTATTGACATTTATAACAATTATAAATAATACATTACAATGGTTTTCCATTAGGCATACCGGTAGCGTATTTTAAGAGAAGTCCGCTCTTCTCATATTGTTACTACAACATCATGATATCTAGAGGGTGTGCAGATATGCCATGACACGGACTGGTGTGTATTATAGAGTTATCCATTTCATTATACTCAACTAAAAAATAACATTGCCCACAAATGTTTGGTTGTAAGCACATAGTTAAGAAAAAATAAGCAATATGTACCCGTTTAGATATTAACATTTTGATCGTTGCACGGCCAAGTTATTGTCTGTGCAACGTGTAGAGAATTTTTTTTACAATGTATTATAGCTTAGGTCTAGAGTAGTTTTATCTACCAGCCACAGCGACCAACGATTTCTCGTTGCAAAATGGTTCGTAAAATCGGATGGAGTGGTGAATGTGTTGTCGACGACCCGTTAAGATAAAGTACTGGACTACATCAGAGACATAAGCTAACGGAAGACTAACACAGCTACTCAGTTGTGTAGTTAAGATTTTGTAATTTAAGCCGAATTTTCAAAATCATTAAATAAAGCCCGCCACTCTAGTATAGAGTTTGATACTTTTGTCATAGATTTTTAGAGTCAGTTATATTGATTAATTAAAAATGTTTTTTGGTAAGAGAAAGATTTTGTCAAATATATGATAGAAATTGGCAAAAGAGATTTTGCGATTTTTCAGTAACCGTTTAGATTTGATAAATCATCCAAAATTTACTAGAAAGAAATTTTTTTCAAGTTTATTTTCAATACCAATTGTTTGGTGATCAACGTAATGATTTGTATAATATAATCAGTCTATGGCATTATTGCATTATAGCTTTTTAATATGTTTAGCATCGTTCATTTTAGACTGCTATAATTGTTCAGCGTGATTTTTGAACAACTTTTGGAATTGACTGCTATAAATAATTGAGATTACAGTTCCACAAGTTCTTCGAAAATTAAACTATTCAGTTATAGCCAACTCGTACAGACTTAAACAAAGTATGCAAAACACGTTTTCCTCTGAGCGGTCGAAATTTTATCACAACCTGATTACAGTGTATAAATCATTAAAGTCAGTCAACGAACTCATTTATTGGTAACCAAAATAAACTTGACAAAATTATTTTTCTAGTGAATTTTAGATGATTACAATTAAGCGATGATAGTTATACTCTCATTAATTTGTATTCTAAGAAAGAAGACATTTAAATTACCTTCAATATGTTAATTGATATCAAATAATATTTTTTACTTTATCTCTTAAAAATTTAATCAATAGTTGTATAAGTTAGTTATTTTAAATTCTGCTGCTATATTTTGTACTTAAAAATATTATCTGAAATATATATTTTTAATTCTTCACTAGCGCTATATAAATATGGATTTAGCCAATTGCAAAATTATGTTTATCCATTTATTTATATTTTTCTGTGTACTTTCTTCTACTCTTCTACCTTAAGGACGTCATTGCGATAATTCATAAATTATCACAGTGACTAGAATAATAATGACTTGAAAATTACAAATTCAACAAAATATAGCTCTCATGGCTACTATTGATGTTTAATAAAGTTATGTCAATAACTTTAAATCAAGCATATTTTAATCATTTTTTTATGCTTTAAGGTAGCCACTTGGTAGTGGATATTAAATATCGTCGTACTTATGATAAGAGCAATTAGGTATCATCGGTGACGTTATAGCGTTTGATAATTACTTTATACAGCCACAACAGCTAACTTGAAATTTTACGATTCCTAGGAGCAAAACATAAATAAAGTTTTAAAAAAAATTACTCACCATTTTAGATGAATGTACAATTCCGACTTCAAACGACGTACAAATAATTATTAATAATCATTAAAACCAAACTAATATTGCTTATAAAAATTACTTATAAATAAAATTATAAATTGTAACATAAATATATGGGGCGTTTATTTATTAATTACCACGATTTCCAATTAAAACAAAAATTGAGTAATTACATATTTTTAGGGGTTGCAAATGCAAACCCGTAGTAGTTATACTACTGGAGACAATAATCATGAAATGTAATTATACAGTGTTTAGTAAGTAAGAAAACAGGTCAATTGTTACAAAAATAGAAAACCGTGTCCTTACTTACTGAACACTCTATGTATAAAACACGGTGAATGACAAAAAACATTTTTTAACAAAATCAATGTTTTTTTTAAACTGATAAATTATTTGAGAGCTCGCGAAAAAGCCAATAATTTCTACAAGGCAAACAGTACCAAAAATAGATGATTTTCTTACTTGATAAAATTCAACTATAAATATCTAAAATCAGAAACAAATAAAAAGTTTAAACACTTGTCTTAAACATTATAAGTACGTTTACTAAATTTATACATGCGTATAAAAAAATTAACGATTTCCATTTAAAAACGAGAAACTATATCATTTTTAATTTGTGTTTAAAATATTGTCACATACGAATCATAAACAATTAAAATTATGATGTACTTGAATAATATTAAGGTAATTATAATAAGTTTATTTATAGTTGATAATTATTTTTTGCAGTGCATATCCTTATTGCAAACTGGCTATGAAAATAATGATGGAAATGTAAATTTATTAAAATGTTCTTATATAATAAGCACTTTAACTCACATGCAATATACAAGTTTAGAATTTCAAGAATTTATAAATGACAAAAAATTTGTCGACCTCGCTAAAATGATCAGTTTATATGAAACTCCGGTAGGCAACCAAATAATTTCATTAAAATACGAAACTGGTGGTTCATCTTCTGAAGTATTGTTACTAACATACTTGTATTTTAATATAATGTATTCTTCCTACACTTTCGAACAAATCGATAATATAAAATGGGAAAATGCAAAAGGTATTTTAAAAACTCACAATTATATTACAGATAAATTAAAATCAGAAATAGCCACTAATGGTTGCCAATACAATGATAACCTTGTATGTGATCAGACTCTACTTAGCAATTATATTCAATTAAGTAAGAAAGAGAGATTTTTAAAACATCAATATAACATTAATAGCATAATGAATTTGATAAAAATAAACAATACTAAAGATAAATATCAATTAAAATTAAACAAGTCCCAATATCAATTGATAGTATTGACCAATTTAAGAACAAAAAATGTTCACACTTTAATGAATAATTATAATTTACAAATAACTTGGAAAAACCATCCAAGGTATTTCAAGAATCTTCTTCTAGAAGCAGAAAAACTGGAATCATGGTCATCCAATCATTTACATTCGTTTAAAGTATATTATAAGAATGTTTTTAATTTTTTGTGTATTATCATGTTAAGATTAACTTGGAAGCATTTTTCGTACATCGAACATCAACACATAACAAATATTATTGAACTTACCAGGTCTTGGTTAATAATATTACAACAATTTGGAAAACTATTACATATCGACAATGTTTCAATAATTAAATCAATAATAAAAAGTATTGAAAATGTAATTAACAGTTTGCCAGAGAAAAAATACAAAGTAAAAACGTTATGGTCGAACTCTATTTCAAATGTTGAAAGACAATTATATGATTATCGAGATAACTACCCAAAAGAATTAATTCGAAAAATTCGAGATATTTTGATACCGATTTGTAAGGATTTAAATTGTGAAATAATTTATAAAATTGAACTAGATGGCAAAGAGCCATTATTTTTGAAAAAAAATAAGTCTTCAAATCATGACCCCACTAATATTAATGCAATTAAATATCACAGTTTAAAAAACACATCCGATTTTATACATTATTTGAACGAAATATTTAAAAACGTAGATTTTTTTGCTATTAATTCTTTCATAAATTATATTAATACATTTAATTAATGAAAATAGTTTTAAATAAGTATAATATTAGCTTGTTATTTTAAGTAGAAGTTTAGCTAAAGAAAATCCTGTAATGTTTAAAACATTTTGATTCAATACTTTATTAGTAAATAGATGTTCGATTATTATTACAGATTTATTATTTATTATTGACCTGTTTTCTTACTTACTGAACACTACAAAAAAATTTATCACGTAGGTTAGTAGTTTTTGAAACTTACGAAAAACTGTATAAAATTTTACAATGTACTCATAGTAAACGCGTTACTCATCTGAAATTAGTTATTAGCTATTATTAATTAGTGACGTCAATAATAATTGTGTATAATAGTGCTATTAATAATTAACAGCACTTAATCATAAAACATTAATGTTAAAAGAATCTAAATGATATTTAATAATTAATACAGTTAATAAATAAATCATAATAGTATAAAAGAAAATTTACAAAAAATGCAAAATATATCCAGTTATAGTCCCCCAGGCTATCTTGGATGATCTTATATCATATCCAAGCAGAGCTACTGGATTTTCGTTACTGCAATAATACTTTAATAGACATTGAAAATAATTCATATTTCTATGAAGTACATAAAATCGGTCATTAAAAAATTGTATATTAATCACAATCGTTTTAAATAAACAATACATTTAGTGTAAATATAGCTTTATCATGTATATGTATAGATATCTCAAATCTAAATGATTACGTTTATAAACTTGTATTTCCTTTTTAACAACTATCGATTTCTCAGATTATGTTAGAAGCATAATTTTATAATTTATCTCTAATGAGTAAAAATAAAATGAAATTATTTTTCTATCATATTATCAAGTTAAAAATAAAGGTTCTCATTTAGAAAGTTAATGTTATGGTTTTTTAAACCTGAAGAGATGAAAAAAAATTATTTAACTATATATTATTGTAGAGTTTTTTGAATCAAACAGTGTTTCATTTACAAAAATTAAAAATTTTCAATAGTTTCCGAGACAATATATGTATTATTCTTAATGATTCACTCTGTATAGAAAGAATCACAAAAATATGAAAAATAAATATTTTACATTGATTTCTTTTTAAAATAATTTTGAGAAATGATAGAATAAATATTTAATAGAAAAATAATAAATAATATTCTATTAATTTAATTAAAAATAGTTAAAATGTATAAATAATTTTTTAAAAAATTTCAAATTGATTATTTTGTAGAATATAATTTTAGTACTAAAAGCTAATTTTAATAATTTGCAATTAAATTTCTATAGCATTTCAAAGTTCCAATTTCAATATTTTTAATTATTCTAGGGTATTAAACAAAATAAAAATAGTGCAATGTTATATTAAATATTTATGTAGTGCCTACCTAAATTTTACTATTATTGTAATTTCCATGAAATTATATATTATAACAAGTGCTCTTGATCATTTTTAATATTATTGTACAAAAATTATCTGAAAATGATCTCTAAATTCTGAATTTCATTTTTAGTACAATTTATCAGAGTATAAAATAAATATGAAATACTATAAAAATTGTCTTCATTATTAATCTGCTAAATTGTAAATATTTTATATGAGTTATAATAATAATTACAAGTTTTGTGTACAAATGAAGTGATGGAAGGCAGGAACAACAAGGAAGAACTAAGAAATATTTAGATGCTATAATAGTAAATAAGAAAAATATTCTTAATTAAGAAAAGATTAGATCATATAAGCATAGATAAGATAAAATGTGTAATCTTTGATATAAGTAGAATTTGGTTTATATCTTGGTTTATACATATCTGTATAAATCAATATGATGATCTGTATGAATGTTTTAATGAAAAATTGTAAATTTTTTATAATTATGTATTAAATTATACTAGTGTTGCAAAAAAAATGAATAACAAATTTAATGAAAGCATTGATGTTTTTAGGATATACACCAACAAGAAAGATTAAATTAACAATAATCTAAATATTTTTCAGACTACGTTGCCATAAAAATGTTTTATTATATAACACTCAATGATGATAAATATTAAGCACAATGGTTTATATAATTATAATACAAATTTATCAGAATATAAATAAAAATCAACAAGTCAAAGTCTTTAACTACTAACAATTTTTTTATTTTTGAAAATTCTTACAGTGTTATCAGCACCACCTGATAAAATAAATTCATTGTTTGACCAATCACTGCATAATACTTTTTCTTCGTGACCGACTAGTTCAAATAATGGAACTTTTGGACTAAATAAAATAAAATAGAACGTTATGCATTAACATAAATTATATCAACTCTAAATAGTATTACCTTCTTGTATCCCACATTTTCATTTGATTGTCATATCCACCCGAAACAAATTGATATTGGTCTATTGTAGACCATTTAACTGTAGTAACCCATTGTTTATGAGATGAATAAGTATTTTTTACCAATGAACCCTCTACAAGGTAGTAAAATATTTATTAGGACAAAATTTCTTAAACAACAGTATATTAATATTTTATTATTCAGTAAAATAAGTGAATAATATTTTAATTGTTTAAATAAAGCTTTCATAATAAAAAAATTGATCACATACAATATCAATAAAGGTTATACAAATATAATCATTTTAAGTTGCATACCTTTACACCTAAGATCATACAAACGTATGTGTCTGTCAGATGAACATGTAATTACTGATCCAGTCAATTGTGAATAATCATGATCAAAAAATGATTTATTACCAACAATTTCTGTCTTTATTCCACCTATCTCACCATCCCAATGTTTAATAGTATGATCCCATGACGCCGTTAAAACATCTGAGTTATTAATGAAATGTACAGATGAAATATTCTCTTTATGGCCTTTTAATGTCATAATAGGAGGCTAAAATAAAAAATAAACAAATAAATAAATAATTCAAGAAAAAAATAATTTTTTATATGATTACCATGACTTTAATATTAGATTTCTGTCTTTTTGCAGGTAAATCAACAGGTTCAAAATTAGGATCTGCAAAATAGTTGATTTTATTAATTATATGAAATTTTCAATTTGAATATTTATTTTACCAGAAGACCAAATTTTTAACATAGCATCCCAACCACCAGTTGCAAATCTTGTGGAATCTGGACTAACACTAATACATTCTACAGCTCTCTCATGACCACGGCCAATTTGTAGACAGTTTGTAGTTCCATTTTTAATATCCCAGTCCCATACCCTAATTGACTGATCTTGAGAACCACTGAATATATAACATTTATAACATTTAAAATTAAAATAACTGTAACTATAATGCAAGACAATCATTTTCTCGGAAACTATTGAAAATTTTAAATTTTTGTAAAGGAAAATATTTTTTGATTCAAAAAACTACAATAATATGTAATTAAATAATTTTTTTTTCATCTTTTCAGAGTTATAAAACCAGTATTATAAAAACCAAATTAGTGATGAACTTCTATTTTTATTCTAAATCATAAAGCAATTTTTAAAAACAAACAGTCGATCAGGTAAAAAAAATTGCTTGTAATTTTTTTTTTATAGTACTATCAATTTATAAATAGAGGTTCTCATTGAAGAAAGTTGATATTATGGTTTTTTAACTCAGAATGTATGAAAAAAAAATTATTGAACTACATATTATTGTAAAGTTTTTTGAATCAAATAATATTTTCCTTTACAAAAATTAAAAATTTTCAATAGTTTACGAGAGAATGAATATCTTATCCTTAACAAATCACCCTGGATATCTCTCCATAATCAAAACTGTCATAATTAAAGAAGAAAAATAATTTTTTTATCTAAAATATCTAAAAAATTTCAGTAGAATCACTATTTGATGATCTTTAATAGTTTTAATTTAAGTAATGTAATATATATATTTTTTTCACAAACATTCTGACAGATAAAACTATCTCATTTTGACAGTAAATAGTAAAGATATATTTTGTAGCGAGTAGTATAAAATTTTTTATATAATAAGAAATTTCTTATTAAAAATATATAAAATTAAAACACAAGATATTACACATATGACAGGTATTAACAAATTTTAAAAAATACAGGAAAATAATTAAAATCCATAATATGTATTTAATGTCCTTGAGGATTTTAAAGTTCCTTTACTTTTCTAGGTTTTCAGTTTTAAGTCAAAGTTAACTACGCAGTAAAAATAGAAGAACATATCTCAATACAAATGTCTCTTAACTCTATTTTTGGGACAATAATTTATATCATACATAGTAGTTATTTTTTCAAAAAGTAATATTATGAAAAAAACTTATAACAGATTCTGTTTGGGACACATTCATGTTCATTATATTATTTATAAGTCATCTACATAATAATAAGCATTAGAAGGGTTCGAAGTAAAAAGGGGATAAGAAACAATTTTGGTAAAAATGATAAACTTAAGTCAAAATTTGTTTATAAATAATTTATAGATAAACTGAAGAAATTCATATTTAATATGATGTTGTTTTAAACTGCAAAAGTATAAGTACATAAAATAAATAGTTTAAAATAATTACCTAACAAATACAGCAGATTCATCTGACATTGATACCCATTTTACAGCTTTAACTGGTCCTGTATGTCCAGCAATACCAATTTTATGTTTACCTCTATTGTTCCACACATGAATTGAGTTATCATAACATCCTGTTATTATCCTATGATAAACATACGATTAGATAAAAATTTATATTATTCTTCTTCTTCTTCGCCTTAATCCCAACTACTTGCAATCATTATACTACTCATTCTCTGCTCTACTTTGTTATCAACCGCCTAACACTCTGAATCATACATCAAAGCTGGCCTTATTACAGTTTTGTAGAATTTACCTTTCATCCTCATTGGAATTTTTTTATTGCATAAGACGCCAGACACTTCAACCACCCGCACTTATTTCTGTGTCTTACATCCTTGTCAACACCACCACTCTATTGCACAACTGACCCTAAATACTTAAAACTCTCCACCTCTACAATCACGTTCTTATATTTCTCTAGTAATTTCATCTATCACTATAGAGAGTAAGTAAGGGCTTAAAGCAGAACTTTGGTGCACTCCTACTCTTACCCGAAAACCTTCTGATACTCCTCCTACGCTTTTTACCCTGGTACAAGTGCCATCATACACATCTTCTATTATATTAATGTACTTTTTTGGGACTCTTTTTCTCATTAATGCCCACTTTAAAACCTCTCTCGGAACTCTGTTATACGCTTTCTCCAAATTTATAAATACCATACATAGCTTTTTATTCTTTTACCTAAACTTTTCTATTAGTTGCCTCACACAAAATACTCGCTCTATTGTTGACTTACCAGGCATAAATTTGTACTATTTTAAACATTAAAAATTTGTATTATTCATTAAACTATTTATCATACCAAGAACCCATAGAATGTATGGCAGATACCCAATCATCATGAATAAGACAATCTTTCGGCTCAGGAGATGGAGTGGCTTCCATATACTCAACCACCACTGTACTTTCACTAGATACATTTTTTTGTGTCAAATGAATATCTAATGGAGTACGTAATAGTTCATCATTAACTAAAAAGTCAAAATCTACTTTTTTTAAAGTTCCATTTTCATCAGATAATTTATCTAAAAAAAAACATGTACATAAAATGAAATGACCATCTCAATATAGAACATTAACCAATAGTAATGCCTCATGATATAGTGAAATATTCAATAAAAAATGTATTATATTTTGTTAAATTTACGAAAATGTGTGAAGCAAGTAAATATAAAACTTCAATAAACTAACCTTTAAGTAACTCATTAACAAGGTTATTAAGATTTACACATTGAATTTTTGAATCAACTGCAAAAGGAAAATCTGGTACAGCATATCTAAAATATATTTAACTAAATTAAATTTTTTTTTTTTAAGTTAAAGCTAAATAAAAAATGCCTATTTATTTAAGTTTTAATGGTTAAAAATGACAACACAATATCTATAAAATATATATATGGCAGTTTAATCATTATTTATTCAATGTTTTCATCAACATTTCAAAGATTACTCAATCTATTATTGTTGTTTAACTAATAAACCTAAAAAAACACAACACTGGTAAACTTTCATAAATAATATGGCAAAGTATAGTATATATTCATATGTTCTAAGCACAATATGAATTTTTCTTTTTATAAATTATTTTATTAACACATAAAATTTTTAGACAGAAGGAAACAATATTCCCTATTTTCAAAGTGTGGAATGTGAGACTGATACACATATGAATATATAGATATAATTTGCAAGATTTAAACCAAACATGAAACTTAAAGCATTACTAGTTATTATTGGTCAAAAATTTACTGTACTTACTTTTCTTGTTTGGTTATAAATTTTATTTGTATTTGAGAACCCAAATCGTTTTTATTTTTAGATTTATCCATGACCATTATATTTATAAATATCGAAAATTAAAAAGGATGTTACAAAAAAACAATGAAACAGTAATATCTTCAATAAATGTACATGGCGTTACTGCAAACTGTGTTTCATTTATTGACTGTAAGCACGTGCAACGCTCATCTAATATCATTTGATTATTATCGTTATCAAATCCTTATCTCAATTCTTTTTAGCTGATAAATGTGTGACCAACCACAATCTCTATTAGAGTTACAAAATTAATATTATTTTTATTATTATTATTAGAGTTCGAATAGTGATGTACTAATTGGAAATAGCAAATAATGCTAGGAGCTTTCTTACGTTGTAAACATGGCTGCACACATGAGATAGAACACGTTAGAATAATAAGCGACTTATGCAAAATTTTGTAATAATCAAGTTTATATTAGTAAAATAATTAATTGTATTGTGCACAATTAAAATTTTATATATGATGCTTTTTCTATTATTCGCATTAATTCTACTATTGAAATTTTGTTTATTTTGTAATAAAAAAAATATACAATTAAACATGAAAATAAAATACATTTAGTACATTTTAATATATAAGGTTTAAAAATATTTTCAAAATATATTCAATATTTAAACAGTATTTAACATATGAATGTTTACTCAAAATTATTTCTCACCCAGATATTACTCAATTTAAAATTTCATGTTACACTAATATCAAATTTTATATTATGTATAATTTTTTAATATACATTTGTACATATATAATTAATTATAAAATAAACTAGATTGAATATAAAAATATTCAGAAACTCGTAAAATTTATTAAATAATAATTTATAAACATTTAAAATTAAGTATTAAATATAATTATTAAAAAATAAATGTTTAGTAATAATTCTTTTTGATTCATTTAATAAGAGTAATAATGAAAATACGAACGAAAAACATCCACAAATGAGTGGAAAACAACAGTCGTCAAACGTTTGAAAAATAATCAAACTCTGACTTATGTGAAACTCCGTAAGGAGCGATTGCGACCCGTTTTAATTTGACAAAATGTATTCGATAAGATTATCATAAAAAACGATACATTTAACTGAAATGAATGTTAACTATGTAGTGTTCACAGAGCTATGAATACTTTAAGTGGGAATTGAACCCAGTGGAACGGTTTAGGTTTTCATGAGCGTTTATAAGGAAACTGTTAGTATGTACTCGGTTTTAGCATCAATTTATGAAAATAGTTTAAACAAAGTAAACAATAGCCTTGTTTTACTTTTCACTTAAAGAAATAATAAAAATGAATAACTCGGCCATGGACAATGGAACTGTTCGAGTCACGAATTACTTTTCTTTAAATTCAATCAATTAAACAAACTTATTAAATATATCTCATAATATCACAAATTTTACAATTACACACGTTAAAAAATTAAACATAGTTAGTCCATTTAGTTCTATATTAGGACATGTAGTTTATACTTATAATAGATGTTAACTTTTTCATTCTATGAGAGTTTGCCATAAATTTAGAATACATACAAACTACGTATTCCAAAAACAAGCTACAAAAAAAAAAAAAACAGATTTTTAAAACTTAAAACTTAGTAATCGCTATTTATACATTATCACTTGTTAAGTTTGTTATATCCCAATCATAGAATATTATTAGAAAGTACCTAGTAATCGAACACTAATATTTGTGATTTCTGCTCAATTTAAATAAATTTTTCATTTAAAAAATTGAATTTGTCCAAAAAATTAGAGCAATAACCTTCGAATAAAAAAGATAGGGTCTTTGAGAAAGTCTACTTGTATAAGAGTGTAAATGAGAGTTATGAGTGCCTCATAACTTAAAAATTTACTTAAAACTATATAAAACTAAATTAAAATTTTTTGGAAAACTATCTTACTATATCAATTGTCTCACGCTTAAAAGCGGTAAGTGCACTTTTTAAAATTTTGCAGGCGCTCTATTTAATAAATAATACCATCATAGCACTTTTTGTAAATTTAAAATTTTGAAAAACTGTAATACAGTAGAGTTATAAAACTGAATAAAAATTTAACTAATTATTGGTGTATAAAATGTATTATCTCTTAAAATGTATATGTATAGCTACATGTAGTGGTTTCTAATATTTTTCATCAAATGTTAGCCGTGACCAGAGGCAGATTCAGGGTATGACGCAAAGAGCATAAAACATCTCCTTTAACTATCATTGCCCAATTAAAAAGAGTAATTTAATAAAATTAGCAAAACATTGATTTTGACGTTTAAAAAATGTTTATGATTTGATAAACACTACCAGTAAACACTTTAGGTTAGGTCTCTTAATTTTTGAATTGTACACAATTTATTCGGTAATAAAAACAAAAGGCGTATATTTCGAGGAATAAAAAAAAAAAGTTTAATCTTTATAAAAGTTGACAAATTTTGTATATAGAATGGTTACTTTTTTAAATAATATAAATAAATAACATTAATTCAATAACATCAAAGAAAAACATTCATTTTTTTAGAGATTTATTTTAATTAAGTTCTCCAAGACCACCACGTTGCCGAAAGCAGCTTTAGACATAATCTGACAACATTGTTATCTCTTGGTCCCTCTCTCTCTCTAAATGGCGCACCCATCAAAGCTTGACGGGACGTCTTGTAGTGCCATCCTTTCATAATGGATCTTTCGCGTCCATTCTGAACTCATGAAATTTCTGCTCCATACCCCTTGGAAATTTTCGGCAGTGGTCATCTGGAGAAGAGGGATCAACATACTCAACAGTGTAGCCGGATTTTGCCTATCGGCAACGCGGCGGTCTTGGAGACCTTTATTTTAAATCAGGGATAGAAACCGGACCGAAAAAGACCGGTTGGAACCCAAAACCTTCAACATATGTGCGAACTCGTTATGACTGAAACCTTAATTTTTAAAAAATTGGGTCATAACCGAAACTCAATTAAAAAGATAAAAAAAATGCATTTTTAAGTTTTTTTAGATTTTTAATGATTTAGGTATTTTTAAGGCTATTAAAGGGCGTGATGTGGCATAATGGACCTTACAAATGTTGATAAGACTAGTGTTAAGCTACATCTGCCGTCATACTGTACGGATAAGTGACTATAATTTTCGTCAAAAATATTTTTGGGTAATCACACAAATTACTTAATATTTTTGATTGTATGTTTATAATTATCACAACGTATAATAATTCATTTTTTTCAATTAATATACATATTATAACACAAAAAAAACATCAACTATTGAAAAATAAGTATCAATATTTTAGTTGAATAAAAAAAAAGACGTCTTAAACTTGTTGAATGATCTTAAAATGAAAAAGAAGTAAAGAAGATGTAAGTTTAAGAAAGATGTAAGATGTAAACCCAACTTAATCCTATTTGAAATTTAAATCGTTAATATGTGCAGTAAGTGTGATCATACTACTCGTATTGCTATCTTCTTATTAATCAATAATTGTGTTAATTATTATAGATTATTTTATTATACAATCTTAGACAAATTTTATTATTACATTGAAATATACATTAAATCTGGAGATTAATTGAAAATGAGTATCATTTAAATATATTTAAAAAATATCGTAAGAAAGTTCTAACTTTTAAAAAGTTCTTCTTTATTCACCAAACCTGTGCATGTCTATAATATAACTTTAAAAGATACTTAAAGAAACAACAACAATACTGAAGGATGGAATCACAGGTTTTCTAAGTTGTGTAGACAGAACCATCCAACGCATTGGATATTGGTGAATAAAATTCGTTAAGAAAAAGTAGGAGATAATAAAAACTCGAATTGTATTTTCTATACAATTATTTCCGATTAAAGACAGTTTTTCTCAGTAGTATACAAAAAAAAAATACGGTTAAAATAACCATATGAACGGTTAATATAGTAAAAACTACAATTGAGGCAGTTGGAATAACTGAAAGTTGGGTTAATATGAACATATATGAAAAATATGAACAAATAATATCTATAATCACAACAAAGAAGCTTTTAAGCAATTAAAATTTAAAAGAGCGTATGATAGATAACAGCAAGAGATATCTTTTAATATTCCTGTTATGTCCGTGTATTTTGGTAACGCCTTAGAATACCATTTATTACTTAAAAATGTTAAGTATAGGATTTTTATAACTACCTGACTTATGAAAATGTTTAGGTAAACATCAAAGATAAAATAATTTAGTACATTTTAATATTTAAGGCTAAAAATATATTTATTTAATATTTTAACAGCGTTTAAATTTTATTATTCTATGTATGGTTACTCAACATTTTTTTTCACCCAGATATTACTCAATTTAAAATTTGTTGCAATAAGATAATATGTTATTGTAACATTAAATTTATATATATAGTATATTAGATAGAATTTAATGATATCGAGAAGCAAATAAGTTGATTAAATAATATTTGAAAAACGTTTGAAATAAAAATTAATTATAAAAATGAAATTTTAATAACAATTAATTTGAGTATATTTAATGAAAATCAAATCAAATATAAATTAAAGTATAACTAAACGATTAATTATTGTTAACGTTAACTGAAATACGAATGTTAAACAGTAGAAAATAAATATTTATTAAATATTCATTCAATACTTATATGTTACTTATGGATATAAATTGTTTAAGAAACATATATAAAATAAAATTAAGAACAGAGTTTTTAGGTATATAAATAAGCTTTATTTCGTCAAAATTACAATAAGCATGTGTTATTTTACAAATGAAATTTAACTCAGTGTGAGTAAAAAAAAAAAATAAATATTGAAAAATATAACAATATAAAATGCGTGAAAATTTATATTACACAAAAAGAAATATGCAACAAAACAAATATGAAATAACAATAAAAAGAATCAAAAATAATGAAAATGCGAACAAAAAACATCCACAAATGAGTGGAAAACAACAGTTGTCAAACATTTGAAAAATAATCAAACTCTGACTTATGTGAAACTCCGTAAGGAGCGACTGCGGCGCGTTGAAGAAGATTGGCGGCGGCTTCCATGACAACCATAACGTATCATGTCACACTTCTTCAACAGACGCCTGTTGCGAGTTGCATAGGCCTCAAATTGTGCGGCTGAGTCACTGAGTCTTACGAACATACTCAGGCCATATTCCAAAAGAGTCGATGGCTCATATGACGATGAAGCGACCAACTCTCTGATCTTTACGCACCGGGCGGTGGTATCTAGAACAGTTGGCTCGGTCGAGGAAGTATGCGGATCGAACAGCTTTTTAAAGATAAGCATAAATTCCCATACTGGTCTGATACGCCGCATACTACGTATTTCCCCGGGACCATATTCGTCCGAATAATAGTCGATGGTGTTCATAATGTGCAACCGCTGGGCCATTAAGCAATCTCGCAACACTTCGAAGGCGGGACTAAGTGGTTGAGTGTTCCTGACAGCGGATTCTGGATCCCACAGATCATACTCATCTCCAATTGAGTGGATCAGATGTCGATACAGTTTATCGGTGTCCAATAGATATCCAATCAACTTGTCCCGGCCTTCTTGGATCTGCCTGACTAATCCTGATAGCTTCGTATTTTGCGAGTCCATGTTGAGCTTGTTGAATGAAATAGTATTCACAATGCACAGTTTTTTTATCGCAATCAACGTTAATTAGAAACTTATTAGACGAGAGAAATCGGGCAGACCCGTAAATTTGTCTTCGATGTTCACCGTATATATAGGCAAAAATTCTCTAGTTGCTTAGAAACAGAATAGTTATAATTTTATTTTCGGCTAGTATACTTTATTATTTTACTTAAAGCCAATATACGTTTTTTAATATGAGCCAGCATATTTTATCATTTTTCTTCTAACTAATAAGTAATTTTATTTTAGCCAGAATGATTATAATGATTTTTTAATTGACAAAAAAATTAGAAAATTAACAGTTTCACTTGTACGTATATTTTAATATCACTATAAGCAATGAGTGTTTAAAAGTCTTTAAAAATATATACAAAACGATTTTTTAAATATATGTAGCAACTTTTTAATGACCGCTTTTACATAAAAAAAAATTATTAACTTTGAAAATGTGTTAATCAAACATTTTTATAATAAACTATATAGTTTATTAGACATTTCTTTTTGGAATTAATATAATTTAGCTCACACGCGTTTTTTTTTTACTCCGATTACAGATATGTAAAAAATGTATGTTGGTTAAAAAGTTATAACCCTTTAAAGTTTGCATATTAAGCAGTTATTAGGTCGCAAACATTCCATTAATATTCTTCTCAATGTTGTTTTTGTCAATAAATATGGAGAAAAAGTGCTCAAATTGAAAGTACCTATTACTAATATAGTTATTTTAAAAGCCATTACTTCTCCGTTTTTATCTTTAAGTTGAATTTTTCAAAATAATGTGCATTTTGCGAGTAAATATTATTAGTTAAAACAAATTTTCTATAGATAATGCTTATAATACTATATAAATAGGTTTTTTATACTTATTAACAATATTAATTTAATAAAAAAACAGCATTTTATCATAGGATGAAGTACCTACACAGGAAGTTGAAGTTGAAAATCAAATCTATAAAACATAGTTCAAGAATTGATATTGAAAAATTATTTTAAAATATTAAAATTGAACTAAATAAAAGTCAGTTAAAAATTTTAAAATTATACCTTTTAGTTACAATTCAATCTTATTTAGACAATTTGTAGTTTATATTATTTATAACAAATAAAAAGATATTAATTTAAGTGTTACAAAAATATCATAATTCCATTTTACTGTTTACAAATGAAAATATTGATTTTTAAGTTACAATAATTACAGCAATATACAGATAAATTGTATTTTTACTTTATTAGCATCAATTAGATTAATCAATTAGGAATCAATAAGTTTAGAAAAAACAATAATTTTTAACTAATACTTTTATTCAAATATTTATCTATTTTTTCTTGATTAAAATGAAAAAGAGAAAACAAAATGCATTTTGAACTACAGTGGCGTTTATTGCTGAGTGAATGTTTCATGAAATTTATGGTTACAGTTTACTATTCTTAAACAAAATTTTAAAAATATATCATGTTTAAAAAATATTAAAATTATAACTTATAATATATATTATAAATCATAATGTTATATATTCTATAGAAATTAATTGATTTACTTAGAATATATAAAATATAATTTTCACAAACTTATCAATAAAAAAAAAATACACTAAAATAAAGTATTGACAATAATATAACATAAATTAATCTGACTGCAAAAGAATGCCTAAAATAACTTTTTTTTAAAATTTGCTTTATTAAATATATTATAGAGTTCATAAATATTAATCAGATTTTCTAGATATACTGATATTTTAGTAAAATTGATTTTAATATTACCTTAACAATTTTAAATCATCATGACAAGACTTAAATAAAAACAAAGACTAAACATTCAACTAAATTAAAGAATAAATATATAACAAATTTACTGATTACAATTAACATTTTGTGTCTATTGGTTGGAGAACACAGGTAAAAGAATTATGTTAAATTTTCAATATAATTTTTTTTAAATTTCATTAAAATCTAGAGTATGGAGTTGATAAACTAAAATGAATTTCATTTTAACACTATTTAATAGTAAATAACAAATATACAACTAATAAATAATAAATACAAGTAAAATTTTAAAACAAATTAAGATAAAAATAAAAATAGTAGTAATATGTTATTTAATAACATAAAAGTAAATAAATAGGTACATTTAGATATATATTAAATATAATTTTATAAAAACTAATCTTATGAAAAACTGTTGTATTTAAAAAAAAACACATAGATACTATTTCATCTTAGAAGGAATAATTAATCAGAAACTGTAAAATTTTCACAAGGCACTTTTGATTGACCAGGACATCTACTATGAGTATTATTCTTATTTTTTACCTAAGTTTTTTTTTTAATTGATGATATCAACTATATATTTAAAGATGTTGAAATAAAAATTAAATGCACACTGTAAAAAAATATTTATCAAAATACAAAATATTCTTAGAATTTAAATATATATTTTCATTTAATAAAAAAATTAATAGGTCATTCACAGATTTTTTGATTTTTTTTTTTTAATAGTAAATTTTTCAATAGATTTCACAAGAAAAATAAATACATAGAAATTTGTTTATTAAATTAAAAATTAAAATTTAATTAAATCATATTTAAAAAATGTTATAAGATAAATAAAAAATTATCAAAAATTCTGAATTATTTACTATTTTACCTTACGACTAGTTAGTGTAACTATTAAGCCTAATTTAACATTTAAAAATTATAAATCTTGGCTACAATATTGTATTCATAAAATGATAGAGTACTATTATTTTATAAAAAATATAATAAAAATAAATACGTACCTTAATAATAATGGTAATACCAAAATAGTGTAACATGAAAATAAACTATTCAAATTAATAATTGAAAAATTAAAATCAAATGTTAGGTGGAAAATCAAAACTAAAAAGTTTTGCATCATCAAAAATTATTATATTACAATACATAACATTTATCTTATAATTAAAAAAAAAACAGTCATAAATTTATTTTAATATATATATATATATAAATAAATTTATTAATAACAAATGATATAAACAAAACAAATATATGTCAAAACTTAAATTAAATGTCACAAATATTTGGAATGTGTTCCATATTTTGAAATCCTACAAAATATAATTAAATTAGATTTTATTATTTTGAATAAACTAAAAAATCTATGTATTTTATTACCTTCAGTTTAAAGATGATTCTCAAATATCTAATTCTTCTAAAGTTCTTGACAACCGATTACTGTCTATTCGCCTTCTTTGGCTTCTTCGAACAGCATCAGCACGTCGATAAGGTTCATTTTTTAAACCTAATAAAATATCTTCTAATGCTCCATTATACACTTCATCTTGATGTAACAATTTTTTTTCTTTAACCATTTTGGTTTTATTCTTCAATTCATTTATTACAGCATCCTATAAAATGAGATTAAATTATGTAAATATTTTTATATACAAAAATTATCAATTTCAGCAATTTTCAAACAACATTTAGGTATGTAACAGGATTTTCTCATAATGCATAAATATGTTTTGGATTATGAACCAAAAAAATATATGCATTACTGAGATAAATTGTAGCTAGTTCTGTAGTTAGTTTCAAAAATAAATAACAAATATAATAATTTTAGTAAATGTTATAGTAGAAATAATTATAGTGACTAACCGAAAAAAATATGCATCTCGGCCAGTTACTACCAGTTGTGCTTAATACTTTTTAATTTGATAATAGAAGATAGTTTTTCATTTTTTTTTTTATATTTTATTACATTTGCTTTAACTATAATAATATATGTATTGCCTATAGCAATAGAGCTGACAGCTATAGTTTATATTTCAAGATACCACATATATTTAAAACATTAATTTTCGATTTTTTTACTATTACATGTTTAATATTATAAAAATTTGAAGTGAAAAAATCTATAACTTATTTTAAAACGTAAATTTAGTTTAGTATGTAGTAAAGCAATAAATATAATTTTTTTATTCAAAAAATATAACTTACTTGTTGTATTTTTTGATTGGCTTTACTTTTAGCAGCTACATTTTCAGTACTAGCCTTAATCTGACTAGCAGCTTCTTCTAAGCGCTTTCTTTGTTCATTTTCAACATCAGATGTCTATTTTAATAAATTAACAAAATGAAATACCAACTAAAATAATTATTATTTTACATACCTTAAAAGCTTTAACAAATCGTACTAGCATGGAGAAGAAAGAATTTGCATCAGTACCCCGACGAGGCTCACCAAAATATTCTACACAATCTCTAAATGTTTCTTGAGCAGTTTTAGACTCATTTTTTAATCTTTTCAGCTTTTCTTCAGAGTTATTAAGGAAATCTCTTAAAATCAATACATTTTGAGTATTACCATGAACTCTAGTTTCACATTCTTTTTTGACGATTTCCATGTTCTTTTCTAACTCATTGACGTCAGTAATAACATTCTCGAGAGACACTGAATTAATAATACAAATATTTTAATTAAGTAATCAAAATGCATATTAAATTAATAATTTTTTTTATCATACCCATTGCTGCTTTATCAATGTACATAAACTCAGAATCAAAATTCATTAACTCTGGCATACTGGATTTGATAGTATCAACAATGAAATGTAATAAACACATGCGTTTATCACTAGACTTTGTATCTACTAATGTATCTAATGATTGTAATTTAAAACCATAAGCTGGTCCTCGTTTTGCACTGTTCATATAATTACCAAAAGCTAAAACTACTTCTAAAACTTTGCGGAATTTTTTAGAATTCTTCACAGAACTAGAAGCTGATATGATTGCATGTACTTGCTGCAGCAAAATGTTTACACATTAAAGGATATAATAATTTTAAAAGAAACTCTAAACAAAACATACCGGAGATATTAGGTGAATGTTATCCATGAAATTACCCATATAACTCATAATAGATAATTTAGTAGCCAGTCGTTCTACTTTTGTTAGTTGCAATAAAAATTTATCTTCTTCTGTCAACATATTTGTATCTTTTTTTTCTAGCTGATACTCTCTATACGATTTTATCTACAAATGATAAATTTATTGTTTAAATCTTAATTTCTTAAGAAATGTTAATTATTATTGTTATTATTATTTTTATTCATTTTTTTTTATCACTTTTTAAAGCGAAGGAATACATTTTTAACTATTGATAATCAGGGACAGATGGTTAGTCCGTCGCGAGTGGGAGAGATGGCCACCCCAGTTACCAAATTGATCTTGTGCTCAGCAAATGAAGCCACCAATGACCAAGTTTCAAACCCGAGACAGTGCACATTAAGCACTGCTATGTTACCCACTTGGCCATACCATCCATCAGTGTGTCATTTTTATTTATTACTATTATTATTTTTATTCATTATTATTTACTTCTTGATCAGTAGGAATCATTCTTTGGAGTATTTCAACACTTTCTAAAGGTACTTGCTTTAGGTCTAAGGAATTAACAGCCATTATAACACGATCTACAGGCATGTCAAGTTTTCTTCTTGAAATAGCTAAAATTAAATTGTAAAAGTTTTTATTAGATTGAAATTATAGTAAAAACATTATATTTTACCTATATTTCTTAAGCGAGTATGTTCCAAAAGAGAAATACTATCTTGCTTTTTCATTCGCTTACTAGGATATGTCATCAAACCATCATGCTGATCAGAATCACCATTGATAAGAGCACGTCCAGCAGCTGTTAATTTGAATTTTTCTTCAAACTGACCAAAGTCTATCACAGAGTGTAATTTGTCATCATCTAATTCATTAAAAATGGTACCTCGAACCTATAAATTTGAATATGAAATAATAAAAACAAAATTGTTTAATAGTATAGCAATAATTACTTGATTTGGTTTCATGGCCACCCAATTAAGAGTTGGTAACTTATATTTAGTCAGCACTTTACGTTTGATAGTCATGGCACCATCTGGTGCTTGCATTGTACCAGCTAAAGGTGGAGGTGCTGGAATACTTGTAGGTTTAGATGAAATTGGTGGAGGTGGCGGTGGTGGAGGAGCAGCTATAGAAGTTACCGAAGCTGCAGCAGGTGGTGGAGGTGGCGGAGGAGGTGGTGATATAGATATACTATTACTACCTGTTGAAGAACAACTAGAAATACCACTACTAGAGCCTGAAAAATTATACAAAAATGCATTATTTTAAGGATCAACCCTGTGTTTTAAAACAAAATTGAATAGAAAAAGTTAGTACTTAAATCAGGATGAGCTCCTCCCCGTGAGATCAGTTCTTGGATTTTTTCTTCAAGCATTGATTGCCTAGATTGAGATTCTCGTTTTTGATCATTGACAACACGCCTTAGTGTTGCTACTTCTTCTTCAACAGCACGTTTACTCTCAGCTGCTGCATCCCTCTCAGCTCGAGCCATACCTAATGCACTCTCTAGAGCAGCCAATTGAGCCAAAGATTCCCGCTCTAATTCTCCTAGCCTGTCATGTGCCTAAATATAATACTAATATAAGTATTCAGAAATATATGTATAAAATTTTAAATACACACATGTGCCAACTCATCTTCTAAAGTTTCAACTTTTTCTAATGCAGCTGTTTTTGTTTCACTGTCTTCCATTAAAGCAGCTACATCAAACACATTATCAAGATATGCAGATATCTGAACTTGAAGCTCTTCACTTTCTGTATTTTTCAGTTTATCCAAATAATCATCAAGACCTAATGTACTAAACTCATATTGCAAATGAACACGGAAATTCATGTCTTCAACCGAATGTACAATTATGTTTATAAACTGCATGCAAGCAACCTTTGCACATAATTAAAATTAAATATATTTTACTTATTTATCCAACAAAAATCAATATAATAATTAATTATTTTTTTACACTTAAAACTAAAAGCAACAAATTATAATAAACATATTTCAACAAGTAAATATTTAGAAGAAAAATAATTTAAAAGGGTCATATTCATGAAGATTAGTCACTATTTTAGGAATAGATGTTATGTAAATCTTGTGATTTTTTAATTATATTTAAAAAAGTAATAACTACAATAAAATCTTTAATATTATCCAAGAATTTCTAGAGAATATGACTGGATTAAAATATGTTTGGGCCCAGGGAAGAAATTAAACTAGGTACCTTCATCTTAATCAAAGTCATGCTATTGATAATGACATAAATTACCCAAACTATTAAGAAAAAGTTCATTTTATAAATATTGCTTCTAAATCAACTTCCACCTCGAATGTCTTTAATTTTATTATTATAGGATAACTGCGCCAGATAATACAATTAATAACTAACAAGAGTTACTTATTTTTTTAAGTCTTTTATTAATTTATAGTTTGCTGCAATATTTTTGAAACTAAAACTAGTATTTTATCTAGAAAATTCTTTATAATAATAATGTAAAAATATTCATTATTAACTTAACCATAATATTTAATTTAATATTGCATATTGAAAATCAGAAATTTTCAGTGAATGAATATCACAGTAAAACTAAATTTAGACATTTTTTTTTTTTGTAATAAATACTATTTATTACACAACTTTTCACTATCAAATTATTCTATTAGTTACAAACTTGGTGATATTTATTCACAAATAATGTTACCCTTTTACAACAATTATAAAAAATAATTTTTTAGATAAATTTTTGCTTAAAATTGTATACCATAAATTCTATGTGAAAAACTTCGTAGTTAATAAAATAATCCATTAAGGTTTGGAAACGTTTTTTTTCCTGACAAACTTCTTTAAAATTATCAAATGCTGATAGAATGATCTCATGACCACCTTTGACTAGACATATAGCGGCCAGAAGCTCTAGTACCAAAGCTTTTGTCCTGTAAAATAATATTAAAATTAAATTTTAAAGAAAAACACATTTTACAATATCTATTTATACCTTAAACTCTTATGCATTAAACTAAGAGCAATACTATTAATCGCATCGGTATGTTGGATGACCATATTCAATCCATACTGAAAAAAAAAAATTAACATGAATATTGTTTACGAGAGAGACTATGCTTATAAAACGTTGATTGAATGTTTTTTTTTATCGTTAAAAACTGTGATTAGTTTCTTTGAAATTAAAATAAAATAGAACTTTTTTTTTATAAGCAGCATTTTAATAATATAGTCAAACTACGATTAACTAAAATAAGGATATTTAATTTAGAATTTTACTACCTACAATAGGTAGTAAAAAATATAAAATCTAATTTGCACCACCCCTATTAAAATACAGTTTGTAATTCGCATCTTAATTAATATCGATAATTTTTTCAATAGTTTAATAATTCGGTTATCTTCTTTGATGGTATTCATCGAATGAATAATCGATTTTAACACTCAAAATGGTGCTAATTACAAAAGTGTTTTAACAATTTTGGTGCAAATTGAGTATAATCACTCGTTTATATGTCATCGAAATCTAAAAACATATCCAAACCATTATCAGCACAAAGTCATGAATTAATCACTATGACTGTGCGTCCATTATGGTTTGGATGTGTCATTTACTGATCAATAATGGTACTCGATAAATTTTAATTTAATTTATGCGTAATACGATCATATTTATAATACGCGTATTAAAAAAGGAGGGTTACATAATCAGAAAATTCTCTTACTGAACCATACTGAGGACTTATTACTTCATTTCAAGAATATTACGCTCAACAGAGGAAGGCCCGTAACCCTGTAACACTATTACACTAATAACACTATTTACGCTACTAGGGAAGATAAACTAGATACTAATGAAAAAGTAGTATTCTCCACATACAATTTCAACTGTTGAGGTAGAATCTAACACCCATATTTCTCTTAATTACGTCAGTAGGGTTAATAAAATGGTACAGCACTCATTAGATAAAACAAATTGTGTTTTTACAATACATTTATGGAAAAATTAAAATTAAATAAAAAAAGGAATTTTTTCAAAATTTTCAAATTGCATCAATATTAAAGAGAAATTTATTCCCATTAACACCTTGGGTACGCAACTAGTAAAATCAATTAACTCAGTCGTAAAAATTGTCAAGACTAGCATATAGACCAACCGAACAAAAAAATAATTACCTTTTAACTACTAACGATTAAATCAAAGCAAAATGATGGATTTTTTTTTTTGCTTTTTACTGTCTATTGAATTTACACACAATTTACTGAAAATTTCAATAAATTAAGAATGTAAAAAAAAATTAGTAATTTTTACCATAAGTCATTTAGGATTTATGCGGAAAAGAATAGTGAGTGGAAATATATTTTCATACATGACATTTAAAGGTCTTTGTCGTAGTCAGTCAAACATTAATGAAAATGCCAACTGAAAACCGAAAATTAAAGAAGTAAAATAATAAAAAAATATAGGAACCTTGCCAGTTGAAATTAAAGTTCATCGCGTAAATGACAAAAACAATATTAGTCATCAACATTAGCCAAATTTGCACATAAGAAACATAAAATTTTTAATAAAATACATATATTATATATTATGTATTTTATATTATACAATACAATTACAGTTACATTCAATAAAAGAATATAATTAAGTATTAATATTAGGGCGTGGTTGTTAATATAAAAGTATAAAAAATTTGTTTTAGGTACAACAAATTTGTTAATACCTAATTTTAAAACTAATAAATAAAAAATAGTACTTCAATAAAATAATAATAAAAATTTATATATATTAAAATTAGTATTTTTTGAATTCATATTAATACTAAAAATATTTGGATTAGAATGCCGTAATATTCTTAAATATGCTTTAGGCCTCTTTCTGCTGTATCGTGTCTAATATGAAAATTAGATAAAACTATCAAGCCATTTTGAACAGAAGGATTTTCAACCCAACTAAGAGAATGAATACCAAAAAAATCTGTTCGTATATTAAATCTTTTAAACAAATTTAACGACTTTGGAAACACAATGTCAAGCTCTCTATTGAGAAATAGGCGAGTATCTTTTAGGTTTATTCTAATTCTTTTTTTACAGATTTTTCTTGTTTTTGTGATAACCCTCTTACCATTTTTAGGTGATAAACATCATAATTTAAAATTCGTTGTATCAGATTTTAATATAATAGAATCATTATAATTAATTAAAACTTTTAAAAACATAAATCATTGTACGGTGATTCAATGGTAACAGGTCCCTTAAACTTCAACATAAACGTTACCAAAAATACACAAATATCATGAAATGGATGATTCTTCTTGTGTTTTAAGCTTGATCTGTTTTCAAAACAAATATTTTTAGCGAGTAAATTGCTTTAGACTTCTAACTAGCGTGGTAAAAAACGCCCAGAGATGTAGAATTTTACATAATTTAGGAATTATGCACCCAAAAAAATTATTTTTAGTAATTTTTGTAATCATTACTAGATTATGGAACCTTAAATGTTTCCAAAAAAAATTTTATTATATAATTTTTAGTATGATGATTTTAAATTATTTAATCAGATTTGTGATTTATTGATATTTATACATTTTTTAAAGTTAATCCGAAAATACCATCAGCCAGTACAAATTTTTATTAATTGCCTTGGAAACTTAAAAGTGTGTTTTTTCAATGTTATAATTTTGGGGGGATTAGGGAGGTTAATGCATCCTTTTTGTAACTTACGCGGTTTGTCGAATGTATTATCCAAATATATGAATTTAAGATATATATATTTTTACAACTTTTAAATTTTGGAGGGTAAATATTTGACTTACGATGTTTTAAGTAATAACCTTTTTTATTTAAAATAATTATGTCTATAATTTCTTCCTTAAAACTTTTAAGAATAAGTTGAACAGTTTTGAGATTACGCACATGAACAAAAAACTGACCAAATTATTGAATTTTCAACCCTCTTGAAACACGTGTTAACATGGATTTATTGTAATCAAATTTTGGACAACTTATTTTTATATGTTATAAAACAATATTTGGGTACTGGTAAATTAAATTATAAAATTTATACTTAAAGGAATATCTTAATTATAACTCTCGAAAAATTATTATGAAAAATATCAAATATTTTAAAAGTAATAATATATCTATGCAAAACTAATATCACAATTAAAATCTTCAGTGTTTACTTAATGTGCAAATGATACAATTTTTATGCAAATAAAAATTTCATCAACCTAAATAAGTTATGGGTTTACTGTAGTTTTTAAGTCGATATACAACACAATATTTATCTACAACATTCTTATTTTTATGATGTAATGTACAAATATATAATATACAACGTGCTGCTTAATCATATTTATATATATATGCCTAAACGTGAACTCATATGAAGTAATATATAATTTATAAACTGTATTTAATGCGAAGAATTTTAAAAGAATAATCGTTAATAAAATTTTATCTTAATGTTTGAAAGTAAAATATATTTTAAAATACTAATTAACTAAAACATATTATTTTTTTTCGTTTTTAATGGACAGAAAGGGCTATAATTGAATTAAGACATTCTTTCTTCATACTTTCATGAACAAAACAACATAAAATATTATTACAGCTAATAGACGAGAAATTTACCTTATTGTTCATGATTGCCCTCAAACACATGATACAAACATGTATATCATCTTTGGTATCACCCATATTTAACTTGGCCGCGTGTCGCGATCTTCTTTTAATGCTGGGGCTATCCAAAACATCTAAAGTGGGTCTAACATGATTTGTCGTATTGCCATTACTATTTATTCCATTAGAGTGCAATGTATAGTGATTACCTACAAAAATTCAATGATATTTAATGTAGACATTTAACATTGTATATAACAAAACACATACCTTGGGCAATTTTCTCAGTAGAGATGTTGGTAACATCTGCGCACACTCTTTGCTCATGTCTCATCATTACCAGTCTAAAGCTCAGGTAGTCTATCAACGAGTCTAACCCATGATTTTGGTCATCGAGAAATTCACGAACCCATCTATAAAAATTGATCCAGTACATTAAATATTTGTCAATTAGGGTCAAGTGTAGCTGCGAGAAGGTAATAAAAATAATTTATCATAGTTCAAATGTTCCAAACAAATATAATTAGATAATATTTTATCACAATTAAAATATAATTAATTTACTTCTATCAAGAAGATGAGAATTGAACTTTTTTTTTAAATAAAAAAATTAAGATTTTTAGCTGAGAAAATAAGATGAATTGGTTCATAAAATAAATTTGTATTTTAAGTAATTACTCAATATGATTAGTCCGTAATGATATTTCTAGATCTCTTAAAACTTGAGTTGATGTAGCATCTCCGACCATTTTCCGTTTCTGAAAAAATATACATTAAACTCAAACTAAAAGATTTGTTATCCATAGTAAATCATAAAAACTAAATTAAATTTGGATAAATAAAAATTACTTACCCTAGAACTTCGAGAAGCCTTTGGATCCAAATAGGTCCGAAGTCTAAATAAATAATGAGCAGGTGGATCTTTTGCTTGAACTCTTTCCTAAAATTAAAAACAGGTATAAATATATAAATCTTTACACTTAATATTTAAATAATGAACTCATAAATAATTTATACAATCGTGTTCAAATGACTCTGTATTTTATTTTATTTACCAATTGTAATTCTGAAGCTTGGTGCAAAAAGGGTCAATGTCTCATTTTTCCGTAAGTTTTGTCAGTATTATCACAAATAAGGTTATTAAAAAAAATAGTCTTATACAAATAATCTCGATTTGTTACGTAAATGAAATCATCAATAATTCGTAACAGAATAAACAGATTAACAAAAATTTAAAAATAATAATAAAAATATCTTTGAATTGAAAATATTTATTTTTAAAGATTTTTTTTCTTTCAAGAATTTAAATAAATAAAGGAAAGTTTACTTAAATATACAAAACAAATTTATATTAATAAAATTTTTTTTAACATTTTACATAAATTTATATATTTTGATTTTAGATAAAGTAAATTTCATCGCTACTGTGGGGATGCGGCATAATTGGGTCAAGTATAATAATATCTGACAGTGATTAAAATCACTATCATAAAAACGCTTTGATGCATTAATGTAGATAGTGTTTAATTTAAAAAAATTTAATTCCAAAAGCTACATGATCTCCTATTTCTTTATTTATATCCTGATTACAAGTTTTATAATGTAAGTGTAATATATGAATAAATAAATATCTATATATATTTATAATATATAAATATATATAGGGAAATGGTGTTATTTAAAAAAAAAGTATGTTGAATGAAAGAGGGATATAAATATTATTTCTCATAAAACAATTTTATTGATCCATACACTTTTCAATAAGTTATAGCATTATAAAGTTAAAAATATAAAAAAGAATTTTTTTATAAATATCATATTTTTTTTATTAACTTTGATGTCTGTTTTCATCGTGAAGACAAAATAAAGTCCGAAATTTTTTTTTCCATGATAAAGTATATTACATTAGCTTTAATTTAAGATATATATAAAAGTGTCAGACTTTCCGGAATTTTTTCAAAAGTTAAGTTTTGGCGTATCGTTGAAAGAAATCGGTTCGGTGAGAGCTGAGAAAAAGTGGTAACAGACACAAAATAAAAAATAAAAAAATTATATAACATAAAAAAAAAAAACATAGTAAAATTAATACTTCCTCAGCTTCGCATCAAAGCTAAAATTATAGTAACCTAATTACCCATGTTTCTGGATATATGACTTATAAAAAATAACAATAACAATTTTCAGTATATCTCCGAAAAAATATGAGGATTACTACCCTTTGAATAAAAACCATTTAACTATAATTGTATCTAAAACCCAAATAAAAGAGCTTAATTTAAAATAAAGATTAAAAAATTCAATAAAGTACAAGTCCACACAAGATAAAAATGAACTTAACTATACTTTTTCTGCGTTAGAAAAAATTAAAAATGAATACTGGGAAATTATTATAATGTAAAATTTGAAAATGTCAAAAAATCGTCATGCATTGTTTCACGAATATAAGTTAGAACATCATGACATTTTGTAAACATTATTAAAAAATAGACTCAATTTTTAAATTATATGAGTATACACACGATTTGGCAAAGTTTTGAATATTATTAAAACACATAAAATTTTCTTCTATTAAAAAAGCGTTTAGATGACTTAATTTTTAAAAATACATTATACTAGGTATTCAACGTCATATAGATTAAACAACGGAGGCAGAAAAGGATGAGTCAAACTGACGGTGATCCTTCACGAGACATATCCAAAAATAATATTCCTATTACAGCTGGTACATCCGACAGACAACATATATGCAATCTAAAGAGCGGTAGCAACTATAAAGTCTTATGGTAGGACGACGAACTCCTACTTTTTAACTATACTAACGTACTTAACAATATACGAAAATTGTAATAGAAAATACAAAAGAGTGGTGTTTCCATCAATTAATTAAAACTTTTTAAATAACAATTTTCCTGGACTTTACATAAATTAATTAAACTGTCTACAGTTACCAATAAAACCCTGCATGGCCATACGAATGACCTAAATAAACTGACTTCGAAACTGCCGCGTGAACTGGTCTATTGTTATGTAACATTTATTTACCGTCAATAACAAAAGAACGATGAAACAAATGATTGTCTGGCCTAAAAAATAAACTGTATTATAATCTCCAACGTTATTGAACTATATTGTAAAGCTGTTCTTTATTATCAGTGTATAATACACAAAAATTAACACTAAACTTGTATAAAAATAATATCGTTGTACTGAGTGTGGACGAAGAAACTATTCTAATTTGCCTCTAGAATTTTCGTCTATTACAATCACATTATTATGGTAAAGCATAAATTATTACAATAACGTATTCGATGTAACTCACGAGCGATATTTAACTATTCGTCTGGCATTACGTTTACATTAATTTTTTACAATTGAATACATAATTAATAAAATAAAATATATTATGTCACGTTAATAATACAGCAGACACATTTATTAGGTAGAGTTTTACTATTTTTTCTGATTTCTTAATAGACTTCAAAGAGATAAATTCATACATAAAAATGTTTATAAACATTGAGTACACCGCGTGATATAGACAAATGTTTGACCTCGAAGCTGAGCTAACTGAGGTTAACGGGGAACGCGCGATGAGTCATTCCATGTACATACTATACGGTCTCACTGCCCACATTGAAAGTTACTGACGCGATAGACACCTTTCATTAATATTGCACACATAAAATCACTAAGTAAATACTTATTAGTATTAAACTTTCCCGTAACTGACAATAAAATTTACTCTAGGACTTATATATGTAGTTGATAAATAATAATCAACCTTGAATTACTAATGTAGGACGACGACACAATAATAGGAAATTATATGCACTATCGAGATACATAGAAAAAAACCTAAAACTGATTCTTAACTTCTAATTAATCTTAACATTGCATATGAAAATTATGATAAAATTAATAATAGAAATATGCAATTATTAAATAATTATTTTCTCAAACAACTCAAAATGTAATTACTATACACAAGTCTCTAAAAACCTGTAATAACTTGTAACTATGTTCAATGTCAAAACTTATTATGACTCTTCATTGAAAATATAACTGACTTAACAAAAAAAAAACCATTAAACATTTCACTGATAAAACGCAAATGTTTTTAGTCGATGTACTAACAATCAAATACTAAGATCAAAATTATTATTTTATACGGTTAGAAACCATTGCAAAATATTATCGCTTTTCTTATATTTGCGTTATATATTCCGCCAGATTTTGATACCTTTAATAACTTTTAATCAAGTGCATATTTTGCGTTAATTTTTATTTTTAAGTATTATTGTTTTGTAAACATAAACTATAGTTATAGTAACAATTAATCAAAATGAATTATCGAATTATAGATTTACCGAGTATTGGTTGCGGTATTGGACTTTGATTATTGACACTGGCATTCTCGGTTTCCGATGTTAAATGTCATATCCCATTAATCAAAATCAACGCTACGGGCTCACCCATTGACATCGAAGCCCATAGCATATTGCAAGTAATAAAGAGACATGAAATATTTTAATATTAAATAACGCCTACAAACACGGTAAAAAAATTACATTAGTCTTTACAACGGAAAACCGAAATGAATGTTGCACTTAATGCGGATAATCAGTATGCCCATGCTTATATCACGTTTCCTGTACCAGAAAAGCAGGTATTACTTAATATTATCATATGCTTACAGAAATACTTCAAAAACATTACTATAAACTTTTTAGTACACAGGAAACGAAAATACAAAATGAGAATATATAAAAGAACTTCTAGTTGAAATTAATGCCGTTTTTAAGGCGCAAAACTGTTGAAAGCCTAAGTATTTCAGAAAAATAACTATTATCACTTCTTAAATTATCCATGAGTATACTTAACACTTAAGTGTGTTTATTGGTAACATACAACTCAGTTTATACTTTAATAATAATTTTCTGTTTCTATAACTTCATAAAAAAATTAAATCGCTATTACTTTTTGATAAAGATTGGTCTTGGGTTTCTTTAAATAATTCGATAGACACAGGTTTCTTTTGGGTGTTGGCCAGGCGTAGTGAGTAAAAATGAAAGTTTCGTCGAAACGAGTTCGGGTTCGATTCTCGGGATGTTAACGAGGTTTTTCTTGTGATTTTCTCATTGATGATGTCTGCTCTTTGGTGCAAGCCGGCCATAATACCCGTTCTGTCCATCTGGCCTTGCAGAGAACTAACTTTGATTCCCTAACATTTGAAAGATGGCCAATACCCTTTGTAGCGTGTTGGGCTTGAAAAATAGAAGGATATAACACTTATTATGTTTTTACATAGATTTCCTTTGAGTCTTATCATAGGATATCTGTACATATGTTACATAATCACTTGAGTCAAATATTCGATAGCATAGAGAATAATAAATGGTTCAAAAATAAAAATATATTTAAAATAAAAAACCCAGCACAGGGGGGTCGCGGCACAGTGGTGACGTGGCATAGTTGGATCAAGTATAATGATATCTGACAGTGATTAAAATCACTATCAAAAATAAACGCTTCGATGCAAATCTTTAGATAGTGTTTAATTTTAAAAAAATTGATGTTTTATTCCAAAAGCTACTTGATCTGCTGGTTCCTTATTAATATCTCGATTAAGATAAAGTATGTCGAATGAAAAAAGGTTTATTAAAAAATATTATTTCTCATAAAAAAATTGTGTGGATCCATAAACTTTTCAATAAGTTATAGCATTATAAAGTTAAATATAATATAAATAATAAAATCGAAAATTTTCACACAAAAATAGCATTCGGTAGCCGTTTTCACCATGAAGACAAGTCCAGAGGTCAAATTTTTTTTTTTCAAATTAAAGTACATTACATTAGCTTTAATTTAAGATATATATAAAAGTGTCAGACCTTCCGGAACATTTTCAAAAGTTAAGTTGAAAAAGTTAATTTTTTGTGA